TATGATGATCTCCAGGTCCAACCATGTTGCTGCAGTTGACATTATTCTTTTTTATGGCTGAGTAGTATTCCATGCAAGATACAGGAAATATTAATTGCCTCTTATTCTGTTAGCCTTATGTACTAGAACATTACCTTTGTGGTCTTTTTTAAAATAACATATTCCAAGATTTAAAATCTTGGTTATAGTTCATAAGTTGCTGACATAAATGGGTTTTGATTAAATTATTGAAAAAGAAATGTTCTGATTTTTAAAAATTGAAGTATAGTCAATTTACCGTGTTGTGTTACTTTCTGGTGTACAGCAAAATGATTCAGTTATACATATATATTCCTTTTAATATTCTTTTTTGATATAGGTTATTACAAGATATTGAATATAGTTCCCTATGCTATACAGTAAGATCTTGTTGTTTATCTAGAAAACTTACAATTGAAATAAAAAGGAAAATCTTTCCTCATCCCTTAGAGAAAAATATTTTCACCTTGACAGTGACCAAGTGGAACTAATTTCTTGGGCATGTGCACCTCTGGCCTAGGTGCTAGGGGTGTCTGCTGCTAGTAGCTTCCCCTGCAGGCTTTGAGTCCACCCTCCCACTGACGGCCCCCTGCCCCGGCCCTCTCCAAGTTGCCATCTTGCCACAGGAATTCAAAAGGTTCAGCACTGAAGAGACCCATGTGTGGTGTGGGTAAGAGGCTGGCTCTGGAGTCAGATAACCTGAGTCTGAATCCTGGCATTCTTGGTTGCTTGCTCGAGCATAAGTCCTTCACCTCTCTGAGCCTCTGTTTCCTTGTTTATAAAAGAGAAATAGTCCTAGTACTTATCTTGGAAGAGGAAGAGAAAAGCAGCCCCTGACCACCAGGACCTGGCCTGGCGCTCGGAGCTCAGCTGTGCTGTTCTGTCATGAACATACAGAACGTCACAGAACACCAGCATCAGATGAGGCCACACCGTGAGCCTGATGGGTCAAGACCAAAGTAAGACCTCCTTATAATCATGTCCAAAACCAGACAAGAGCAAAGATGGTCCAAATCACAAGTGTGGCTACGTAATTCCTTTCTGGCTCCTGTGATTCACAGCCCCCACTTCATTCCCTCCGCCTCCTAAATAAGAATGACCAAGATGCCTAATCAGAGACTTCCCCTCACTCCCAATAGTGTCTTGAACTCTTCCTCCAATCACCTAGCACCCAAATCTTACAACAGGTTCATTGAACACCCTCTTACTTAGATGCCTGGATCCCAAAGGTGTGCCTTCTCCCTTGTTGCCATGAGTCCATCAACCCAATGTGTACTTGAACTCTAGACGTGTTCCTGGTGGTCTTTGTTGGGACCTCACACTTCACATGCTCACCCTCTGGCCCCTTTAACCTGCTTTGTTTTTCATAGCCCCCATCACCACCTGATATGTTCCATTCTTCTGTTTTCTTTTTCCTCCTGCTGGAAAGTTCTACGATGGCAGGAACATTGTTTTATGTAGACCATACCTGGAAGCCTAGAACAGTTCTGTCACTTGGTGGATACTCAAGAAATACCAGTTGGAGGAATGAATGAATGCAGACCCCAGCTTTTGCTGCCTGGGAAATCCATGGCAGCCGCTAGCATTATCACCACGTTACAAACAAGTCTGATATTAAGGTGGCCATCATGAATAAGCATCCAAAGCCAGATTGCTACAGAGAAAGCCATTAGTGGAGACAGTGATCTCCGTGAGCCACAGTTGTTTTTTAATTTTTTCCTGTGGGGATTTAGCCTGTTTCCTTTAATTTCATGGCTGTTGACCCACCCTGTAAGCATCATCCCAGTACATTCATCTGCCTGTGAACTACTCCCACAAGCAGAATGAAGCTCCGAGTGCATCAAGCTAATTATCTGGTGAAATGAGGTCTTACGTTGACCGCTAAGTCAAGCAACTTTGTTTTTTGCCCAGACTCAGAATTTCAGAACGTTGGCTGGTTGCCTGAGTGTTCTGAATGAACCATTGGATGACTCTCCCTCTGAAGCATTTCATTTTTTGCGTTAGCTGAGTGTCCTCATCCTTTCCTCACTTGCTTTTTGTTTCTGTCTTTTGGACCTGAGCCCAAGTTTTCCCCATGTGCAACGTGCTGGGCACTGTCAATGTTGGGCACTTTGGAACTGCAACAGAGCAGTGTTCTTTATTGATCTCTGATGTTTTTCACTGAGTTGTCTAAGCAGGAGAGAGATTGACTTGAGGCCCAGGTGGGTCCCATGAGCTGAATACATTGAGTACGTGCCTCATAAAGCATCAGGACAGTCATACCAGTTCTTAAGGATGTGGAGTGAGATCATTTATCCCTTAGGATCATTTTCTTTTGGGGACGGTCGTCTGAGCTTGCATTTTCTCAACAAGGTCCTGGAACCAATCTGTAGAGCTGGCCCATCTCTTGGGCAATAGAGTCTGTCACTTGTGTTAAGGGACTTACTTGTCAGCAATTCTTGCGATGGAGACAGTCAGCAATTTCAGATTGCATGGAGAGGTTTGCTTCAGGACGTAGAAAAACTGCAAGGAATACAATTAGTGTGGACAAGTTAACTGCCTCTGGGAAGTCATTTAGCACCTCTGCATGGATTTAAATGTCATCATGTGTGTTTTATTGCACTTAAAGGCAGTGAAGTGTGTGTGAGTGTGTGTGTGTGCGCTGAGAGAGAGGAAAAACTGCAGAGTAGCTATAATTTTTCAGTCTAAATACATAACTTGTTTATTGGCGTTAACAGTAATAGACATTTAGCACCTCTTTTTCTGATTTCAAAGAAACCTCACTTTTTGTTTTCTTAAAATAAAAAAACCCTTTTTTTTCGTGGTGGTCTGGCTCCTTCAGAAGCTACAAAAAGCCACAGGTCTGAGCTGCCTTTGGTGGAAAAGGGTACCATCTTTTCTCCCCTGTGGATAATCTGTCAGCTTGCATTTATCAAAATGAACTGGAAAAAAAAATGAACTGGCCTGTCACATTTATAAACCATGTTTGTCCTTTCTCTGGGTGAGTAAAGTTCAACATATTGTTATGTCAGAGTTTAAATGCTACCTAACGTCAGTCAATGCTTTGTGGGTATTCAGACAGAGCTCTGCATCGTGTTGGATTTGACAACAGCCTTGGTGTTTGGGTTTAGGAAGGTGTCATCTCTACACTTTTTTTTAACATTTTTTATTGATTTATAATCATTTTACAATGTTGTGTCAAATTCCAGTGTAGAGCACAAGTTTTCAGTTATACATGAACATATATATTTTTTTGGTCACATTTTTTTCTCTGTGAGCTACCATAAGATCTTGTGTATATTTCCCTGTGCTTTACAGTAGAAGGATCTTGTTTATCCTACAATTTTGAAATCCCATCTATCCCTTCCCACCCTCTACCCCCTTGGCAACCACAAGTTTGTATTCTATGTCTATGAGTCTATTTCTGTTTTGTGTTTATGCTTTGTTTTTTTGTTTTTGTTTTTTAGATTGCACATATGAGTGATCTCATATGGTATTTTTCTTTCTCTTTCTGGCTTACTTCACTTAGAATGACATTCTCCAGGAGCATCCATGTTGCTGCAAATGGCGTTATGTTGTCGGGTTTTATGGCTGAA